ATAATAGCCATAATTAAAAGCACGCTAACAATACCATAAATTTATCACACGATTTCACTAGCTTTCTGCCCCTAACTGCTCTCTCATCGTTAATTAAACGTGTTTCCTTTTACAGAATGGATGTTTATACATTTCCAATATAAATAAATTCAAAACCATCCTCTCTCTCTCTCTCTCTCTCTCTCTCTCTCTCTCTCTCTCTCTCTCTCTCTCTCTCTCTCTCTTTCTCTCTGTTTCTCTCTCCTCCTTTCCCTTTGGTCTCTTGCCATTTTACAGGAACTTCTTGGCAGGGGCCCTGAGTGGCAGACACCTTGAAAATAAATGAAGTTTTGAGATGCAAATCTAAACAAGAACATTAAATTAGCCTTCTTTCCCTCCCCCACCCCGAAGCGATCTGGAGAGGTATAGAAAGGTGGTGGGAAGTGAGTTGAAAAATCCCACTGATTTGAAAATAGAAATAACCTGGGTGAGTTGGGGTATCAACTCCCTCGGTGGCGGCCACCCAGGGGAGGCTGATGGTAGCTTAACAAACCTATGGAGATGGTCAAGAAGGAACCGACTTCGCGGTTCTGGGGGGGAGGGGGGGGCAGGAAGCGGGGTACATTCCAAATGGGCTCCACCCACGTTTTGTTTTCTCTGCTATGGAGGGTGGCTACCCTCGGTGGCCGGAGGCGCCCCTCGCTGCGCAGAACCCGGTCCCATCTCCCGGATTCTAAGAAAAGCGCATCCGTGTGAGGGCATGTCTCTATCCCACTTGGCATCCAACGATTTATTCGAGCCCTTGGCACCGTCTCTGGCTGAGAGGAGGAGGAAGGGGACACCTGAGTTTCCTCCCGCCTGGCCAGGGTGAAGTGGGCCACTCCCGCCTCCAGCACGCTGGCCGTGCCCCTACCTTTGTGTTGACCGCTTACGAGTCCAAACTGAGTTATAATTAATTTCCCCTTCGGCGTCGTAAATTGTCCCACTTCCCCCCTCTCCATTTCATCCCGGAGAAGGCACACAAAATCTCCCCTCCCCCGAGGTGTCTCAATTTCCTTCCAATCGATCCGGACTTCACGACTCGTGTTTCCTGTTGCTAGAACCCTGGCCCCCTCCACCGCCATTGCCAAACCCGTCCCCGCCTGGCCCCCTCCACCGCCATCGCCAAGCCCGTCCCTGCCGGGGCCCGGAAAACGGGTGGTCACCATCCAGCTGGATGCCACGGACTCTGCCCGCCCCAAGAGAAACCTCATTTTTCCATCCTCCTTCGGCTGGACCGTTTCAAACATTGGAACAGGTGAGACAGCTCGCTTCCATCTTCTTGCAATCCCTCCTGGGAAGTTTGCTTGTGGCCCAAGTAGTCACTCTCCTCGTATGTGTGTGTGTATGTGTGTACTCCTCCTTCGATCTCCCCCAGGAACCCTCCCCAACTCAGAAAATACTTATCGACATTTCACCCCCTCCCCAATATCTCCCTTCCCTCTATCACATTTTTCTTCTCCCCATAGTATGTCACTTTCCCTCTGTACCTGTCTCGCTTCTCTCGCCTCACTTTACCCTAAATTTGGCGGCAACTGACGACTGGTGGGCATTTAAGCTGCAAAATGCAATTATTTAGCCAACAGGATTTGCTTAGCCTGCAATCTGGACGGCCTGGGGCAGGACCCGGGTCCGTGTCAGGCTCCCTCCCGCCCAGGCGGAGTCCTGTGGTGGCGGGAACCTCCTTCTTCCCACCTGAGCCGCTCCTTCCCTCCCCGGTGGCTGCGGGCTTGCCCTGCTGTCCTCCCGGAAGGAGGGAAGCCACCGCCGATTTCCCAGCCGAGAGTGGCAGCGGGAAAGAAATCGATATGAAGTGGCTGGGCCGGTGCAGGCACCAGACGCAGGGGCTACAGCCCGTAGGTCCTGCACGTCTCATCATCATTTAGCTAATCGAGTCGGAAAGTTTCTGTAAGGGCCAGAGCCAGCATCAGATGGTAACACTGATTGAACAAGAGATTAGCACAATAGATCTCTAACCGAGGGGAAGCGTTGCTTTTCACGCTACGCGCCGTAATTAATGGTATGAATCAATTAATTTGACTTTTATTGTGTCGAAGGAGAAAAGCGCAACAAATGGAACCGGCGGCTGGGAGTTGTTCACCCCCCACCTCCCTACCCCCCAGGGAGGTTACAAAGAGGCTCGGGGGAGTGGACGGTTCAGGCTAGGTCTTGGCCCGGGAGGTGAGAGGCAGCGACCGGCATCGCCCAGGGAATCCTGAGAGCCAGCCCGGGCGGGACAGTGGAATCCAAATTAGGCTCCTGGAGCCGCTGCTTCCAGAAGACTGCCACCCTCCCGGGCGTGCACACACAGGTGCCCGGGTCCACTCAACCCAGCCTCCTCGGCGGGCAGACAGTGGCTTGTGCTTCTCGGCCCAAACCAACCAGTGGGCCTGAATACCAACACCCAGAGAAGGAATTTCTGAATTTGTAAATTTCGGTTTCCTTTTTTGTCCTTCCGAGCTTCCTGTTGTGGTGTTTGGTTACTCGGACAGCCAGGACCTTTGCATCTGGGGCAGTGAGCAGCCAGCTCCCACTGCGGTGGGCTTCGCAGGAGGCTGTTCAGATGGCAGCGGAAACGGTTCGAAAGCCTGCGGGCCACGAAGCTGTGCAGCTGGGAAATCAACGCAAGAGATGCATGTTAGAGTCAGGTGCAACGGGAGGGGGGGGGAGATCCTTTAGGTACAGAAAAACCTGGATGGAGCCACTGCCCCCACTCTTCCTGCCCCCCCCCTCCACCTCCCTGCCCCAACCTGGAAAGTCCTGCGAAGTGGGGAGCCAATGGGTTAGTATTAACAAACCCAGGAGATGATCTAATGGAGAGGAGAGTCGATCTGTGTGAAAGTGCCTATGATGAAGTAAGTTTACCCATTGGGTGGGGTGGGTGTCTAGGCAAAGGAAAGAGAGGGAGGGGGTCGTTGGTGAGAGAGAGAGAGAGATGAAGGGAATCAGAACATCGATCTCCATCAGGAATTTAAATCTGTTTCCTAGTGTCTCCTGTAAATATTTCACTAGCTACGTGTCCTCCAACCTCCTCCCCTTTTGCTCTTTCCTCTGGCGAGGCCGGCACTCTCCTCTCAGGCCTTAGCGGGCAGACAGGGTTGGTTTCCAGGAGCCCGCCACAACCGGCCAGCCAGGAGACGGCCTAGACATGCAGGAGGGAGGAGACAGCGCGCCGCGGGGTCACCGGTCAGAAAGAAGCGCTATTCGGAAGTACAACGCCCGCACGCCCCCAAGCAACGCCCCAGTTTTCCTACCATCATGGGCTTCCCTTGCCAGGGAAACTTGGTGAGCACCGTCCGCATCCTCTACCTGTCCTGCCGCTGCTTTCCGAGGAAGTTAAATCTTGAAAGGTTTCTCTAAGTCTTAAGAGAAAAGAATCCGAGTTAGTGCAGCAACTGAGAGCCTAGCCCGATGTCAAGCCCCAGGCCACCACCCCTGGCTCCCAGGAAGCCGGGCCCAGCCCAGCCCCCGGGGAAGTCACACCACCAGCTCCTGGGCCGTCCCAGCCCCGACGCCTCATCACTTTGACTCTAAAGGCCCAAAGTCTCTTCCCAGTCCCACTCAACTTACCCAGGCCGCTGCCAATCCCGGCTCCTTCCCCAGCACTTCATTTCCGATCTCCCCCGCCCTTGCTAAGTTGTTTAAAACTCGGAGCAGCTAGTTATGGCTTCTTTATTTATAGGTACCCTGTTATTTCACGTCGTTTTTATTTCGCTCAGCAACTATTCTAATAGATTAATCAATAGCCATTTTCTGACCTTCGGGAACCCCAGCTGATGCTGTGGACGCGGGGGAAAAAATACATACACACATATATAAACATGCCAACAACGGGACGGGAAAGCCAAGCCGGTGGGTCAGGGTTTGGGGAAAGAGTGCTTCCCCTCCGTAGATATTCCCACTGAATAAGCCCTGAGACAGGAGGAGGGGTCTGAAGTCCCATTTGCAAAACGGAGCCGAGTGTGCAGCCCTGACTCGTTGAAGCTAAAAAGAATAAAAACAAAACAGGCTACTAAGTTTTTTCTTTTCAAAGGGAGGGACGGGAATCTTGTTCTAAGGTTCACAGTCCCTGCCAAGGAGTGCTGCTGGTATAAGGGGGGGAAGGGGGATGGGTAGGTGAGAGGGGGCGGGGAGGGCAGGGACAGAAAGAGCCACCAGGTCCCCCCCCCCCCCCCAACCCCTTCCGACGCTCCCAGGCCCACGCCTCCCTCGCTCACACCCTCTCTTCCTCACTCACACCCGCAGACTCCCTGGACCGCGCGTCGGGCTGCCGCAGCCTGGGCCGAGGTCTCGGGTGGGGGCAGGCCCGGGCGCCCTCCTCGGTGCTCGCGGGATGCCGGCGCGCCGCGCGGCGGGATTCGCGCGTCCCTCGTCCCTTTGTTGACAATCCCCCGGACCAACTTGAGTTTGGCCGGCTCGGCCGCGGCCCTGACGTCACGCGCGGTCACGTGGCCCCGCCTCCCGCTGGATCTTTAAGTAGAAAGTAATCTATCAGGCCAGTCCTTAAAACGGGACTTTCGACTACGGGGGCTTCGGTGTCCCTGGCACAACCCCCCTCCCTCCCCTTGTTGCCCCTGCCTGCGCCCTCCCGAGCCGCTCGGCGCCCCGACGTCCCGCGCCCGCCGGCGCCGCTCCTGCACCCCAGCCCCGGCCCCGAGGCCGAAGAAGGCTGGCGGAGTGAGGGGGGCGCGGCGCGGGAAAGCCGCGGGGACCGGGGCCGGGGCGCCCAGTGCCAGCAGGAGTTTGCAGAGCGCGGCCACCGAGGGGCCGGACGGCAGCGCCTCGGCCGCGCCATGCCGGGCCGCCGAGTGTGAGCCGAGCCGGGAGGGCCCCCCTTCTCTCTCTCTTTCTCTCTCCCAGGACCCCCATCTTTCGGGGGGTGCCCACATCCCTTCCCCTTGAGCTCCGCAGCAGTTCCTGACTGCTGTTCCCCCATCGCTCGCCGCTTCTTTCCCGCAGCCGCCACCAACCCCCGAGGAGGGATGACCCTCTCCGGCGGCGGCAGCGCCAGCGACATGTCCGGCCAGACGGTGCTGACGGCCGAGGACGTGGACATCGATGTGGTGGGCGAGGGCGACGACGGGCTGGAGGAGAAGGACAGCGACGCCGGCTGCGACAGCCCCGCGGGGCCGCCTCCGGAGCTGCGCCTGGACGAGGCGGACGAGGTGATGCCGGCGGCGCCGCACACCGGGCAGCCCCAGGCGCCGCACCCGCAGCCCCTGGCACTGCCCAAGGAGGCGGCCGGCGCCGGCGCCGGGGCCGGGACCGGGGGCGAGGCGGGCGCGTCCGAGGCGGACGGCTGCAAGGGCGGCCTCGGCGGCGGCGAGGAGGGCGGCGGGCCCGGCTCCGGCTCCGGCAGCGGCGCGGCGGGCGGCTTGGCCCCGAGCAAGCCCAAGAACAGCCTGGTGAAGCCGCCCTACTCGTACATCGCGCTCATCACCATGGCCATCCTGCAGAGCCCGCAGAAGAAGCTCACCCTGAGCGGCATCTGCGAGTTCATCAGCAACCGCTTCCCCTACTACCGGGAGAAGTTCCCCGCCTGGCAGAACAGCATCCGCCACAACCTCTCGCTCAACGACTGCTTCGTCAAGATCCCCCGCGAGCCGGGCAACCCGGGCAAGGGCAACTACTGGACGCTGGACCCGCAGTCCGAGGACATGTTCGACAACGGCAGCTTCCTGCGGCGCCGCAAGCGCTTCAAGCGCCACCAGCAGGAGCACCTGCGCGAGCAGACGGCGCTCATGATGCAGAGCTTCGGCGCCTACAGCCTGGCGGCGGCGGCGGGCGCCGCGGGGCCCTACGGCCGCCCCTACGGCCTGCACCCGGCCGCCGCGGCGGGCGCCTACTCGCACCCGGCGGCCGCGGCGGCCGCAGCCGCAGCCGCGGCGCTGCAGTACCCGTACGCGCTGCCGCCCGTGGCCCCCGTGCTGCCGCCCGCCGTGCCGCTGCTGCCCTCGGGCGAGCTGGGCCGCAAAGCCGCCGCCTTCGGCTCGCAGCTCGGCCCCAGCCTGCAGTTGCAGCTCAACAGCCTGGGCGCGGCCGCCGCCGCCGCCGCGGGCACGGCGGGCTCCGCGGGCACCACCGCGTCGCTCATCAAGTCCGAGCCGAGCGCGCGGCCGTCGTTCAGCATCGAGAACATCATCGGCGGAGGCCCCGCGGCGCCCCCCGGGGGCTCGGCGACGGGCGCCGGGGGTGCCGGGGTGACGGGGGGCACCGGAGGCGGCGGCGGCGGGGGCGCGGCGCAGTCCTTCCTGCGGCCGCCCGGGACGGTGCAATCTGCGGCGCTCATGGCCACGCACCAGCCCCTGTCGCTGAGCCGGACGACGGCCACCATCGCGCCCATCCTGAGCGTGCCACTCTCCGGACAGTTCCTGCAGCCCGCAGCCTCGGCCGCCGCCGCTGCCGCCGCCGCCGCCCAAGCCAAGTGGCCGGCGCAATAGGGACGCGAGGTCGCCGGGACGCGGGGCCCCGAGGTTGGGCCGTGGGCCGCGGCTGCACTTCCAGGCTGGGCGCCCCGCCCCGGTCCCGGCCCCCTCTGCCTAATCCCAGACTCTGCCTTTTATTCCTCCATTTCCTGCCCTCACCCCTCAGCACCGACCTCCGCTGGCAGCCTCCGCCCTCTTATGCACACCTAGGCTGGCGGACCAAACTCTGCGCGCGCCCGCCGGGAATAGCTTTCCATCCAGGTAAAACCGAAAACTTAATTTTCCAAAACTGCACCCTGACGGGCATCTGCTCTCAGTACCGTGGGGAAGGGAGGGACATTCTTTGTACATATTTGTATAAAATTATTGACTTTTCCTTTTGGGGTTTTTATTTTTTTAAGAAAAAAAAAAAACAAATTCAGTAGATTTAGAGCTCTGAACTTTCATTTTTTTTGAAGGTTCACTCTCCACAGTTTTATGTGAAAAAGAAATGTATAGAGACGTTGGGAGATTTTAAATGTAAAAGAATTTTCAAAAGGCAAGAAGTGTCATTCTATTATAAAAGTCTGTTTATATATGAATGAATATATATGGTATTCTAAATGTTATTCCGTCGTGTTGTACACAACTTTGTAAATAAATTTTTAAAACGCTCAGCCTAGTGTTTCATTTAGGTATCTGAGGTAAATGATGAGATTTAAAAATATTTTTTTATTTCATTCTTACCAGAAATTCCAGAAGTTGGCTAATTCATAATTGGTTGTAAGAGAAGTTAATTGGAGGAGGGAAAGAATTGCTAATTTAAATCTTAGTAATATTTTTCTTTTAGTTTTTACATAAAACCCGGATGTGGGGCATGATCTTGTTCAGAGCAATCCATTACATCTAAATGATCAGAAATGTCCGTAGATAAAATAACCTGCTAGTTTAAAAAGAAAAGAAAAACAAACCACAAGCAATTAACAATTAAATCTTTTAATTAAAAAAAATACCAACATATTTTGCACAATGAAAATTTCTTAAATGCAGATCTTGGTCATTAATGTTACCCTTTCAAACGAATATAAATTCCAGACATAGCTCTCAGTTTAACACTTAAATCTTTAGTTTTTGAAATTACTTATTCCCATTGCTCAAGTGGAAGTGGTAAATAGACCCAGTTGATTGTTTAAGTGGATGTTATCGCATTTTGAATTTTGCAGTGGAATTGTATTATATTAACCTGATAGATAATACATAGTTTTATTCTTAAACAATGTTTTCAAATAAGATACCTCTTTTCAATGGCAATCCACAACATAATTTCAATTTCTGAACTGTTTCTTCGGATACCTCCTCTCCCTCCAACCGCGGTGTTTCTGAAGGCCAACGAACGGTGTGGCCTTAATATCCTTTTTAAAACAGGTGCACATCACCCCCTCCCCCCCTTTTTTTTCTTAAAAAAATGTATACTTAGTGTGAAATTCGAGATCATAGGGCAGGAATGTGAAGATGTCCTTCTAGATTCCCTTCCGCCCCCAGATTATTTTAATGTGCATTTCTGCCGTGGCAACCTTAAAAGTATTAAGGTACAAATGAAACATCTAGACTCTCGGGAGACCGGTTCCCACCACCACTACCATATCCTCGAACGGCATCAATTCTAATTATTTCGTAATTAATTTAGGTGTTACAATTACTTATGCGAAATCTCTTTTCAAGGCTGGAGCGGGTAGCAGTCTTGTCAGCTCAGCTCTAGGTTCCTCCTCTTGGCAAAACACGGCCACGATCCCAGCCGCTGGCCCACTTTGCCTCCGGGTCGCGGAGATGCCTCGGGGCGTCAGATCCGAGCCTGGTTTCTCTGCAGACAGCGTGGACCGAGTCGCTTTGAAAGACCCTCACCAATACCGACTCTTTTCCTCGTCAATGGTAAACATTATTGTGTCTCAGTAAACATTCCTTTCGGATCAGGGTCCTAAAATAAAACAGCCTGCCGGGAGTGAAATAGTTGAACTTGACAAACTAGAACCCGATCACCGCCGCGGAGCCACGGTAGCCTTCAAGGAGGAGGAGAGAGTGTGGACCACAGGGCCTCCGGGCGGGTCCCTTCTAATCTCCTTTTACAAGGAAAACTAAACGGATCTAAATCTGTTTGCGTGTCGCAGCTATAAAAGTAACAAGTTGTTTCACAGTTGTGTCTGGCTAATCGGTTTTTACACAAACAGCAAATGGTACATGATTTGTGCAAACACGTAGAGGTTATTTCTAAATATAGCCGGCACTCCTGGGAAAAGGGAAAGGCAGGGCTTCTTGCATTCACTTTTAGCCTCAAGAAGCTGCTGATCCAAGGCTTCTAAATGACATTGGATAACAGGGGCCTCATTCCATCCCTGATCCTTTGTTACTTATAAAATTACTCGCTCATATTTCCGCGCATAGCAGCAATACCGGCCGAGCCTGCGCCCGCAGCTTGACACTCAGCCACCAGCCGCCGCTTAAGATCCGAAAGGCTTTTTTCCAGCGATGTGCCTTGGCGGTGGGGTGTAAAGGAGAGAGCCGCTGACAACTTCCAGCCTCCTAACCTTGAACTAGCTTAAAGATGGTCCCCTTCCTTTATTTCTTGTAGGGCAGGAGACTCGGATCCAAACCTCAAACCGGCAGCGATGGCTGTTTAAAGTCCTGGCAGATGTCTGGGAGACCCCTGTGTTTTAAGCTTGTTAGGCCGCAAAGGTTTAGAACAGAGGGGAAAATGCAAATTTATATATATATATAAAATGAACGCTAGCATTGGGTCGGGGAGAGGCTTGAAACTCATATTTGATGTGACCCAATCTGCGCTCCAGCGACGAAAGGCACTAAAATTTCCTCTAAAATTGAGATTTTAAAGGCAACACTACTGACACCGCTTTTTATTCCACTTAGTGAGGTTTGTTTGTAACAACAGGGAAACGGGTTGATTTTTATGGGGAGGATTTTAGCATTTGGCTACACACTGGTCTGCACTCCCTTCGACACTTATTTCTAGAAAGTCGATCCAGTTCCGAGGTCTAAGATCCTTTGAGCATCTCAAGGCGGGGTCCCTGAGTGCCTCCCCTTCCGCCCTGCACGCAGTCCCTTGGGGAATGCAGAGTGGATCCAGAGGTCCAAGAAAACGCGAACAAGCAAAATGCATGCATGGGCTGTGAGGGCTCTCGCTGCAATGGTGCACGTGGCCTGTAGGGGGAGACGAGCGGACGGAAAACTTCCTCATTTGTCTCTGAGGGTCCAGCCTCAGCCCTCGGAGGCCTCTCAGACACTGAGAGCGCTGACACCCTCGCTCATCTTCCTGGCCTGGGCCACCCAGGTCAAATATCAAAGAAGCTGTGTTCCTTGGCCTGCCTCCTAGAAGGGACTGAGTCCCGAAGCGGGTTCAGTCCTAAAGATTGGGAAGCAATAAAATTTAGTGATGAGGAAACATTGACTCGGAAGCAATTAGGAGTTATATTTGAGGCTATTTATTTTACGTGGTTTCTAGGAAGAGTCTTGGCAGCAAGGGAAACATGAACGGTTGATGTGTGTGGGTGTTTGGGGGTGGGAGAATCATTTTAACGTGGGTTCCTTCAAGAACTGTCCTGAGGAGAATGTGATCTGGAGGAAAAAAAAAAAAAAAAAAAAAAAAGCTAGATCCAGAGCCAGGTATCCATCGGACCATCCCCACCTGTATCTGTGATGGCGGCAAACTAGTGAGTGGATGCCTCCTCCCTGGAGGTTAGGAGGTTGGTGAGGAGGTTGGAAGGGCATTCTCAGAGTTTCCAGGCTGTGTCATGGGTCTATGTGTGTCTATTTCATGGGAAGGAATGACAGGAAACAGTGGAATCAAAGAGGCCTTGCACAGGGGGTCCCGATCAGGGATTCGGCATTTCCTGACTGTGACCTTGGACACAATGCTTGGTTTCTTTCTCTTCATTTCCTTGCCTCTACAACGAGAATGAGGAGCCTGCTTGCAGTTTGGGCTTGCAGAATCAGTGGGAAATGTTTTATAAACTGGTAAGAGCTTAAGGGCATGTGAGATTTTTGTTTTTGTTTTTATGGTTTCTGGGCAGGGAAACAACTCTGTTCAAACACCTGCAGCGATTGGCTTGGTTTTAAGCCATTCCATTTTAGATGTGAAAAGCATGTTTTTCTAAGAGGTCGCAGGACTTATGCTAGCCTCCTGCCTCGTGAAAGGATGGAGCTGAAGAGGCTGGTCAGAGGGAGGTTGAAAACTCTCCTCCTCATTCGAAAACCTTCGACCATGCCCTAGGCCTGCGGTGCCACCCACCATGAGCCTGCACCTCCAGCACCAGAGGCTCGGTGTACTTCTTTCTGGCTGAGCTGTCTGCTTTGCTGTTGGCCTCTTTGCTCCCACTAGCAAGCAAGTGGGGAAACCCGAGCCCCCGTTGATAGACTCAAGAGATGGCCTCCGGGAGAATGACGGGCAACCAGATCCCAAACCCACAGAAAAGACCACCCTCCTGTTGCCTCCCTCCAACAGTTGGCACTATTACACCCAGAGCCAACGTCCCTCTTCACCATCACCGGCCCCTCCCTGTGCCCTCGTAGGAATGCACAAGCCGTTCTCTGCTCCCAGGGGCACACCGGCCACGGAGGGCTGGTGCGCAGAACAAAATTCGGAGTGCTACCAAATAGTCAAGGAGTAAGAAAGCATTCTCATCTTATTTTTCAAAATGAGAATTAAATTAGTCCCCTCCCTCATTTTAGTGTAAAACTCAGACCAAAAGCCCTTCTTGTCCAGATGACTTGGGGTGTATGCACACTGCTCTGTCCAGTAATGGGCAAAGTGGGGAGGGCAAGGCAGCACCTTCATTCCTTGTCTCAGTCCTCTGGGGCCAAATTTTGGCAGCATCTTCAGGAAAATAGACCTAGAGAATACCCCCCCCCCTTTTTTTTTCTTTTTTCTTTTTAAACATAGACTCAGAATGTTCCAAGACTTCCCCAAGGTCACTCAGCAGCCCTGATGTGAACTATGGAAATATTAAAAAAAAAAAAAAAAGTTG